GGTAGAATGTAAACAAAGCTGGAGTATTTGCCTTTATAAAACTCATAACCCTAAGATTTTGTAACAGACCTACTTCACTTCTTGAGGAAGTAACTCTTTTTGTAATATTTATTTAGGCAGGATTTCTTAGGTCACTGTTAAATAAATCTAGTTAAGCAAGAGTAATACATGTTAAAAATTTAAGAATTCCTAACCACACACTCTACATTAACTTTCTTTTCTACTATTTCCCCTTGCTGAGAAGTTTCAGGTTCTCAGATGTAGTGTGGTATAATAATTGATTATTTATATAACTCTTCTACTCTGCTGCAAATAGTTTAGGAGTTATAGGCTTTATCCTTTTTGTTTCCAATTTATATAACAAAAATATTTTTTATCTTCCTCATAGATGTTGTAGGTAATGTAAGCCTGTGTACGTGAACTTGAATATAGTAAAAGAGGAACAGTATGATCCTAATGTATTGTTAGTATAGTGGTCATGTTTCTTAGACTGATTAAAAATTAATATGTTTGGTGATTGATGATAAAGCATGACATTTTAAATCATAAGTTTTGCAGCTGCTAGGGGCTTAGAGATAATTTAGCCCATCATGAAACCAAGGTTCAGAAAACTGTGGTGAGTTGATAAGTAAATAGGAATTAAAGACTGATGTCCATCTTAAATTTTAGTTCCATTATTTAGTGTTTCCATAAAAAAAGCTTAACTTTATGACTATTCTAAAAATAATTTCTTTTAATTGTAGAAGTAATACAGTATCCTAGGGGAATCCTTACAGCATTATAAATAAGGTTAAAGTGTACCTTGATTACCAAGCTAATTTCACAACAACATCTTTTTCAGAAGGATGAGCAAATTTCATATGTTGAAGGTGTCTGTTTAGATTAAGTTTAGTTAAAAATAATAGCAAAACCCAAAATGACAGTGGCTGAACCAAAATGTAAATTTTTTTCAGTCCTTTATTCCAGAAGTGCATATGGTGTCAATCAAGCCTGGATTGATGTTCCAAGGTGTCAGGGATCCTGCTCCTTTCTCTTGCCTTCCATGGTAGTGGCCTTCAATTTAAATCAAGGTGGCAGCTGGAGCAACAGTCATTGTATTACATTCCAACTATAAGAGAAAGACACCCTTCCTCTTTAAGTACACTTTCTAGAAGTGATACATAATTTTCACTAGGATACCATTGTGGAAAAGTTATGGATAGAAAGACTTGCAAGAAAGGCTGGGAAATGTAGTCTTTATTTCAGAAATCTACATGCCAGGTGAAAACTGGGACTTTCATTTTCATTGAAGCAGGAAAAACAAAGTCTACCACAGCCCAAAGGGAGCAAGAATTCTACTGCTACTGCTCCCTTTTTCTTTTTGGTCAAATATTTCCTAAAAACCTCGTCCATCAGTTAGAGAGCCACGCCCTGGTGGAGTATTAAGGAGTTCCTTTTCTATTAGTGAATGGTGCCTAGGAATCTATTCTTTTAGCTATTTTCATGTCTGATATTCCTGGAGATAATCTTGATCTTTCATAAACTATTCCTAGGGACAATAACAACAATGCAATAAAACAGTAAGCTACAAATTATGTAATAAAATGAAGAACCAAATGATGCTGTATATATTTTTATGGGTACACAAATATATAAGTAAACTGTAGAAATAACCTTGAAGAATGCATGCAAAGCTGATAATGATGGTTACCTTTAGTGTTTTGGGACTGTGGCTGGTGATCAAATTGGACTTCAACTTATCCATAATATTCTAAAGATTTACAATATAACAAGGTGTATTTGGGGAGGTGGGGGAGTGAGGAGTTGATGTACTATACGGGAAACTTTAGGAACTCAGGTTGATCTTCATTGTGTCAATTTAGGAACTGTGATGCATCTTCAGATGTGGTGTATCAGGCTTTATTTGTGAAGAGTAGAAGCCAATTCTAATGAACTGAATCCAAAAAAGAGAATCTATTGGAGGAGGACTGATTATCATAGATTTGAAGAAGTTGACTGATGAGGCTATGTAGCAAGAATTAAGGGCAGTCACTACAACTCCAGCTGCTTTTCATCCTGGGTCTCTCTGTTTATGCTGTATATTCTAAGGAGGTGAAGTGGCATTGGTCAAGCTAGAGGCATATTCATTGACTGAGGTGTGGGGGGTAAATGTTGTGAGAGTAAGCAGTTACCTTGGTTGGCTGTTCTACTAAATTACAGAACGTGAGAAAGACCATTGCTCAAATAAAAATAAGGGTTCAGTTACCAAACAGGAGGCATGCTGGAGAGGCAAAAACAACAGATGTCTACCACTGTCACAGAAGGCCACATGCCGAAGTATGTTTCATTTCCTCCACCATAATTTTAAGAATGTTTTATGGGTTTGCAGGGAAACAGTGTGATTTGGGTCTAAGATTAATTCTCTTTATTTTCACATAGGCCTTAATTTGGTTATATCGCAATGAACCACGTTGTTTAACAAATTTTCTGTACTTTTAAATTTAATTCAAAAAGTGTTTTCTTTATTGCTCTTTTTTGCTTAGCTAACTAGTCACAAGCAAGGGGTACATAGGGTAATGTTTACAAATATTTGCTACTCTTCCCTGGGCAGAATTCTACTTTCCTATCTCATTGATTTCAGGTTTGGCTATGAGACTTGCTTTGGGCAATAAAATGTGATGGGAAGTGACATGTTTCTCTTATAAGCAGATGCTCTGATAGCCAGTGTGTGGCCATGTTCTTTTTTCCCTCTGCACAATAATCAAAGATGTTTCAGATGAAAGACGTTTCATCAGGCTCTCTATTCATTCCTCCCAGGTGAAGAACTGTAGTGAACCTGTTATTGATGCATAGCATTATTTAGAAATAAGCCTTTGAAACCATTGAGAATTGGACTATTTGTTGCTACAACATTACCTAACCAGTCCTGACTGAGACACTTGTAAAACTAATTCTCTGTTTAAACTTCACAGAGAATTTCTAACTGATTCTGGTTTGAAATGTAAACCATAAGTGGAAAGTTAGGTAGAAACTGACAGTGATAAGATTATCCTGTGAGCAATGGAGAAATAATACATGTTTTATTGGGTGAGAAACTGACAAAATAAATTTGATATTTTAGAGATTTAATTTCAGAACAGTGAATAGATATGTTGTAATAAGGAAGACTCAATTTTGTACAGAACAATGAATTGAATAACTTCTCAAGTGTCTGATTCTTTCCATTGGTACTAATTGGTGTGTTTTCAAATGTGCATTTAGATGTTTAAGTTATTTGTTGATATTAATATCAACTAAGTCACATAAAGCTAGAAAAGCAAAAGCTGACAAGTTATGGCCAATTTAGTGTTATATTTCTAGATCAACAAAATAATTAGTAGGTTACATATTGTACATGTCTATAGTCATTTAATGAAACCTGATAGTCATTGGCCTTTAAATCTTTACAAAAATAGATAACCGGGTCCAGTTTAGCTCTTCAATATTTTTCACATCCATCCCTTCCTATCCTTACCACCACTGCTTTAAATCAGGTCTGTATCATCTCTTAGTAAAGCTTTGATGATAGCCCCCTAATTAAGCCCTCCAGTGTTCCTGTCCTCCATGAAATTCTTCTCGCGGCTACTGAATGTTCTTTCTAAAACACAGACTTGAAATTTTTACCTCCTTGCATAAGACGCTTGTGGTTCAACATTTTCTGGAAGCCAAGGTACAAGCTCCTGAAAGTAGCATACAGGCCTTCGAGGAAGGGCAGCGTGTCCTAGAGGTTGTGAGAATGAGTTCTAAAACCAGACTGCCTATGTTTGAATACAGGTTCTGCTGCTACCAGCTTGGTGACTTTTACTAAATACTTAGAACAGTATACCTTCAAAAACATTAGCTTTTATTAATGTTTTATGGTTTATCCCTCACTTCCTGTACTTACTGTATGATTGCTTTGCAATTACTGAAGGGTGCTCTGTGATTTTTTATCTCTATTTTTTCATTCTTTTGTATCTGATACTTTTCTCCTTCTGCCACTCCCTCCTTGCCCCAACCTGGCTAATTCTGTCTTATGTTTTAATATCTAGCTCAACAATTGCTTTAAAGCTTGAGATTTAGTGACTTTTGTTTGAATAGGTAGTATATTTCTTTGCTGTCCGATATCCACCCATACCTCTAACTACAATTATCACATGGAATGACATTATAATGTTTATGTATCTCTTCACCTCTATGAGACCACAGACAACTTGAGAGCAGGAATTACGAATTATATCTCATTCATCTTTGTGTCTGACGTAGTTCTTAGTACATAGGAGGCAAATAATAAACATGTTTGTTGACCATATGGGAAATTGCCATATAAGGAAAGGATTGTTATTTTGCAAATCACTCTTGGACTCTCTTTATTATGTGGTTCAGTACTGCTTAATTGAGATTTTTGTGATAAATTTCCTTTAAAATTTACTTCAGAGAAAGTCATTTCTCTCTTGAATTCATAAAGCTTCCTTTTATGTGACAGAGATAACCTAGTTTCCTTTCTTACCTTGATTATCTCTAGTCACAAAGCTAAATTTAATACTTTGTTCTAGTAACAAAATTGGTTTAGGTGTATAGTATTTTAATTTTCTTATATGAAATAAGTAAACTCTACTTAAATTATAGTAAATTTAAAATTATTCTGGGCAGTGAGAAATGTAAATATATTGAATTTTTATGGTGTAATAAAAAATAAAAAGGGCATGTAAATGAAATTAACTGTATCTGCATGAGTATTGATATGGGCATGTATATTATTTATAGACTTTATTCCAATCATTTGTGCATGAAGACTATAACTGCATGAAATTAAATTCAGAAGTCTAGTAGATTATTATAATTGTGTATGATTTGTAATTATTGTGTATAATGTTATTATATATGGTTCTAGTGTTACAAGAAAATTGTCATTTGAAATAAAGAAACCTATTGTTGATCCAAGAGTGTTCTAAATATATTTGTTATCTAATATATTATAACTGAAGACCTGCTTTTTATAGGACATTAACAAGTGCTGGTAAAGACCTGCAGGATAATTTTCTGAAGGCTCTGGCAGTGAGAGAAGAAGACAATCGCAATGGAAAAGTGAGCGTGAGTACATTTCATCCAAGTAAATGTGTTTACACTGAAGACACAAGTTAGTACATAATATGTAGTTAGTTCATAATGTAACTTTTAAAATCTTCCCCCCAAAATAACTCATGATGGACATAATATGGCATTTTATTATTTATATATTACAGAAATGTATGTAGAATTTTTTGTTCCAATTTATATCTGTAGAAATAGCCAAATGGTGACCAAAAAAAAAAAGGATTCTGTATATCTATTAGAGAAAATGCCTATACTTGGCAGACTGAGTGTCATCCCCAACTCTGTGCTAGACTTTCATTAAAACTTCCTGCTGCTTTTCAGATCACCTTCCTCCTAATAAGATTCTCTGAGTCACATCATCATCACTTGTTCCCAAGTTGTGCCTCCACCTACCTGATTTCATGCTGTGTCTATAATATAGTCCTAGAGTCTGCCCCATAGTCCCTCCTTGGGAGTTGTAATAGAAACCACAAAATGAGAGACATGCTCTTGTTTTATTAAAACATGTGCTGGTTTCAAATATGTCAAGTTGTTAATATTATTTGGAACATATATTTACTTTTATTCTTTGTTAATATAATATTAGTGATAATAGTCTTCTGTGAGTCTTAAAATGTTCCAAGTCAAGAACTCAGTTTCATGGTGAAACTATAACAAGTGACTTACAGAAAAGCAATCATAGCAGTATGGTGAAAAATTTAGAGCAACAGCAAAAAATATATGTATAAGGAAGTTTATTTTACCAGAGTTTTCTCAATAAAACATTGGAATTTTTCTCACTATCAGGTCCCTTGAGTATTTCACATACAGATAAAATTATCAATGTACCTTACAAAGAAAACAGTTGTACCTTGACTATATAATTGTATAAAATTAACCCGGACTTGAAATCAGGGAAAGTTTCTTGAAGGAAGTGGGCTGAGTGAGATTTAAAGATGTGAAGCTGGAAATTTGGGCAGAGACTGGATTCTGGGGGGGCCTTGCATATCAAAACAGTGAAGTCTGAAATACCTCTAAACCTTAATAGAAAGAGCAGAAGGAAAGATGGAAAGAAAGGCAAAAAAATGTGGTATCACAGGAATCTATGATAATGATTTTCAAGAGGTAGCAATCGATCAGATCATTAGTGAACAAGCAGGATAAGGACTAAAAAGAAACTATTGTGTTTGACAACATGTATATTTTTTAAAAATCCAGTCACAGGAATGAAAAGTACAGCATAGGAAATATAGTCAATGACGTTATAATAACTATGTACGCTATCAGGTGGGTACTAGAAATATCAGGATGATCCCCTCATAAATTATATAAATGTCTTATCATTATGTTCTACAACTAAAACTAACTCAGTGTTGTATATCAACTGTAAAGGAAAGGTTAAAATAATTTTTTAAACACGATTTGACAAGGACAAATTCTATCCATAATAAGGATGGAAATCAGTTTCCATAGGGTTGAAAACATGATTCTTGTTAGAAACTAGTACCAACAAACACAAAGTGCTTTAGAGAATGTATGTCCGTGTTTTGTTTTGTTTTTTAACGCAATAATATATACTTCCTATCAGATTCTCCTAACTAGAAGTCAAATTACTTCACTTTTCATTATTGCAAGTTATCATTTAGTTGATTTAAACTCCTATTATATATTGAATTACTATAACAGTCTTGTAAATGATACACTTACGTATTTTCTTGCCCAACTTGCATCCATTTTTAAATCGCTCAACACATACTTCTTGCATCCTTGCTCAAACCTGAGACTGTTCTAGTCACTTGAACACTGGGACACTGCAGATTTTATGACCCTAAAGAGTTTATATTTTAGAAAGGGAGAAAGAAAATAAGTCAGCAAAATCAAAGTGGAACAATTAATTTCATCTCTGGAAAGATGCTTTGGAGAACATAAAATTAGAAAATTGAATAGAGTGTGATAGAATAGACTGTGCTTGGTTGCTTTTAACTGGAATATACAGAAATGACACTTTGAGAAGGTGACATGTGTTGGGTCTTGAATGAAACTGAGAAGATCGCCACGAAATTTGAAGGGAAATACACCCCAAACAGATAACTATTTCAGAAGGAAAGATTTCTCAAGAAGAAAGAACAACATATTAAAATTTCCTGAGGTAAAAGAAATCATGGTGTATTCAAGAGATGGGAAGAATACCAGAATGGCTGGAATATAGTTATTGAAAGGGATAATAAAGGCAGATGCAATCAGAGAGGACTCAGCAGCCAAATCACATAGTTTAAAATTTTTGATTTTATTCTTTAATTTTAATATTTATTTTTTTATTATTGCAATAGAAAGGTGATAGATGATCTTGAGCAAAGAAGTGACCCGACCTGGTTCACTTCAGAAAGGCTGATGCTGCTACTGCTGTGCAGGATAGGAGATGTGGGAAAGAGGGTTAGAGAATAGTCAAAGAGAAGTTAGGAAGCTCTTATAAACAAACAGTGAAAGATGAAATTTAAGAGTATGGTGGTGGTTGAGCTAGAGGAGGACATTATGTCTATGTTTTGGAGGAAGAGCAGACAGGACTTAACTGAGGGATTGGATGTGAAATATTAAAGAGGAAATTAGAATGACTTTTAGTTTTCTGACTTGAACAAGTAGGTGGATGGTGGTGGCCCTTTGGCAGGGGAACTTGAGGAATGCTCATTTCAGGAATAAATAATGAAATCGTTCTGTTTTGGCTATATTTGTTTTCTGATGCCTATTTGTTATCCAAGTGGAGAAGTTGATTGGTCATTGACATATATTGGTCTGGAACCTAGGGGAGAGTCTTGGCTGGAATATAAATATAAATAGAAAGTGACCATCATCAAAATGGTATGTAAAGTCATGGACTTGCAAAAGTTTCATAGGCAGAGAGTATGAGTAAAAATGATTGAAGCCCTATGAAAAATCTTTAGGACACTCTGACATTTAGTGATCTGGAATGTGTGGAAGAGCCAGTTAGTGATACTGTGAAGCAGTAGGCATGAGAAAAATCAGCTGAGAGTGACGCTACAAACATGTGAGAAGAAAAAATTTCAAAAGAAAGAATGCTGACCAATTCAAATGCAGCTGAGAGGTTAAATATGATGATATATTAGTTTTCCATGGCTGCCATAACCAATTGTTGCAAACTGGGTGGCCTAAAACAAAGGAAATTTATTGTCTTACTGTTGTGGTGGCTAGAAGTGGGAAGCCAATGTGTCAGCAGAGCCATGCTCTCTCTGTAGCATTGAGGAGAGAATCTGTTCCATGCCTCTCCCTTAGCTTCTAGTGTTGCCAGCAATCATTCGTGTTATTTGGATTGTAGAGGTATGACACTAATCTCTGCCTCCATCATCACATTGCGTTCTCCCTGTGCATCTGGGTCTCTGTCTTCTGCTCCTATAAAGACAGTCATATTGGATTACCCATCCCCCCAATTGAATATGACTTAACCTTAATTTTATTACATCTACAAAAAAGCTATTTCCAAATAAGATCATGTTCACAGGTACCAAAGATTAAGACCTCAACATTTCTTCTTGGGGGGTACATAATTTAGCCCACAACAAATAATTAAGAATTTACCATTATTTATGGCTAGGTAAATATTATTGGTTATGTGGGTGAGGGCTGCTTCAGTGGAGGGCTGTGGTTAAGTATTTCATTGGTATGGGAAAAGAAAAAGAAAAGTGTATAAATGAAGGTAAGGAGAAGCAATTGTTTTTGAGAGAATTTGCAGTAAAGTGTAGCATAAACATTTTACAATGACTGGTGTAGGGCTTGAAGTCCAGGAAGTTTGTTTTGTAGTGTTTTGAGGAGGATAATATTAACCTGTGTCTTACATTAATGGGAATGATCAAGTACACAGATAGGTATTGATGATGTAGGGGAGAAAGGAGATACTTGCTGGAGAGAGTTCCTTCAAAGGAGGCTGGGATCCAGAGCACAAGGGGAGGGTTCGCCTGTGAGAGGGACAGAAGCCGCCCCTATGGCTATACCAAGAGAGAACAAAGAGGCTACAGGCATTTCTGCCAAGGAGGTTGGTAGACTTGGATTTGGGAAAATGAGATAGCTCTGTGGCAAGTGCATATCTATTTTCTCTGTATTGTCATTCCAGATGTTTTATTACACCATCGTGATTTTTCTTCTCTAGAGAAGGTTATAAATTTAACTTTTATTCAGAATAGTAAATAGTTAGCATATAATTCTGAGTGGGTAGTCATTGATTTGGAAACTGGGATCTTGTCAGTTCCATAGCTTGCTAATTTAAGTACAACATGTGGTCATTTGTTTGTGCTTTTGAATTTATTGTATTATTATAATCAGCAGAACACGTATCTTTGTATCAAGTTGGCACTTAAAGCTTGATTTTCTATTTTCTACCCTTGTATTAAAACAGACTCCACGTGGTTTTATAGCATGCTATTTACAACATAATACAACATATTTTAGAAGATCTAATTGTTAGGGTCATAATCTTACTTAAAAGCCATTTACTAAATGGATATACTTTTTAAAAAGTAGTCCTATAAAATATGCACAATTCATGAGATTTAAATTTATATTCATTTGCTGTCAGCAGAAATTACATATGAATTTTATGAGGCCTGAAGTCTCCAAGGGAAATGACGACTTCCTAAACATTAGGATTTCTCCACATAATGTGCTAGTGCAAAATGAATGGAGAACTTCAACCCAGAGGCACATTTGCTGCTCTTTTTCTTTCATCTTATTGAGAATACATACTAGAAAAATTATGATATGGTTACAGAACTGACATAGTTGAACTGTGTGGCCTAATGAAGCTTGAAGTACTAATTCCATAACAATTTTCCTAGGAAATTTTCTTTAAACGAGGCTAGGAAATTAGAAGATTAGATATACTTTCCCACACATGGTTTTTATTTTATTTTTTAAGTGTTGATTCCAGGTTGCAAATGTTATTTTGTATAAATGAATCTTGTTGTGTATGTCCTCTTTCTCCCTAATTGCAAAATTAATTTATTAATTTT